CACCTTTCGAAGTAAGTTTTGGGCAGCCCACACAACACCTTTCGAAGTAAGTTTTGGGCAGCCCACACAACACCTTTCGAAGTAAGTTTTGGGCAGCCCACACAAAAGAACTCCTATGTTACTTAAAGAAGCATGACAACTTATTTTACATTAAAATAGATAATGTTATTATAAATATAATTTTGTTTTTAAAGTAATTATCAATTTTTTCTTCATCAGAACGATTGATGGTGGTAAGTGAACACTACAAGAACAATATTCAGGAGAAAATGGTTAGAGGTGGTTCTGTCAGGTAATGGATTATTATAAAAGACATTATTTGGAAACCTTTGCTAATGTGTCACTTTATCAAATTGTTGTATTGCAATGAGATTTATCTTTGACTTAAGAACTAACATTATAATTATAAATGGTTTTTATGAATAGTTCATTGAATTTAAAAAGGTCTAAACTATCAAGATGAGAGTTGATTTTTTGTATGATCAGCAATAAAACCAAATTATAAGACATTGAGTGTACATGAGTAGTAGATTAAATCAGTATTGATGTTACTTTTCTAAACTTCTATATGTGTTTATATATTTTTGTATCCAAATACTTGGATAATCTGAATTGACTAATTTTTTTCATATTATAGTATCCAAGATATAGTGCAGTTTGCATTTGATGCCTTAGATGCTCTCGAGTATATCCACCATCTTGGTATAGTGCATCGTTGTTTGTGTCCTCAGAATTTTCTCATTGATAACCAGGTGAGGCTTCACAACTAAATGATGATATGCTATTGCCTTAGGGAAGTTTTAATGAATGTAAAGTTTGTTTGAAATGTATTGCAAGTTTTCTGATGATTGAAAAATCAAACTATTCTGAAACTTTGTAACTAGACATCTGCAGCAGGTTTTTCCTTATTCTGTGAACATAAGATTAATGAAACAGACACACTTGGAAGGTAAATACAATGTATTTACATATGAAGGAAGCTAAAAACATGTTTAGAGTATTCAAAAGCTCTTAGGCTTATAAAATATGGGTTTCAACTTCATCCTGGTAGTAAGCCATTTCAGGCTTTTGTATGATGTATAGAAGGCTCATTGATTAGCCTCTAATTCAAATAAAATGTACTGATGATGACATAAACTTATCAAAATGTTGTACATTTATAATAAAGTTTTCTTCATTACCCATTCAAGCCATCTCCAAACCTTTATTAAACTGTACTTTTTATAAGTAGTTTATAAATAAACATTTATATTTTGCTTCAATACATGTAATTGAATACAGTAATGTAAGTGGTGAGCCTGTAATATGGGGGTAAACATTACTTGGGAAATCATTGTAATTTGAAGCTTCCAGAAACACTAACAAAGGAAAGACATTGTTTTAATGTCTGTGAACAGTTTGTCCTGGTCAAATTGGTGACTGACAGTACATGTTTCTAATGATAATATTTAATTCATTAAGTCCCTAGTACAATGGAGAAAACTGAGATTTGAAAAATAGCATAAGAACAGGAAAGTTTATATTTTGTGAAGTAACTTGGGATAGGTATAAAAACTGGTGAAATATACATTTAATATATATAAGATTAGGCTGCTTTGATCTATAAATACTAGTGTTACTGTGTTTTATTTTTTACTTAATTGTTTTGGCTATGTTTTTACCAATAAATAAGAGAATTAAAACTACTGAATTTTGTAAAATCAACTATGTTGTCTGTTGCATTGATTAACATCAAATATCTTGTAACTTATGTTTAGTAACATCAAGTGTGTTGTGATTTACATTAATTAGCATCAAATGCATTTTGATTTACATTAGTTAGCACCAAATGCATTGTCTTAAGTTACTAGCATTGAATGCATTGCGTCTTAAGTTTGTTAGCATCAAATGCATTGTGTTAGTTAGCATCCAATGTATTCTGTCTTAAGTTTGTGTCGAATGCATTGTGTTAGTTAGCATCCAACGTATTCTGTCTTTAGTTAGCTTTGAATACATTGCGTCTTAAGTTTGTTAGCATCAAATGTATTGTGTCTTAAGGTAGTTAGCATTGAATGCATTGTCTCTTAAGTTTGTTAGCATTGAATGGATTGTTAGTTAGCATCTAATGTATTGTCTTAAGTTAGTTAGTGTTGAATGCATTGTCTTAAGTTAGTTAGTGTTGAATGCATTGTGTCTTAAGTTAGTTAGTATCGATTGCATTGTGTTAGTTAGTATCGATTGCATTGTGTTAGTTAGTATCGATTGCAGATACTAACTAACACAACTAACTAACACAATGCAATCGATGCTAACTAACAATGCAATCGATGCTAACTAACACAATGCAATCGATACTAACTAACTTAAGACACAATGCATTCAACACTAACTAACTATCTTAAAACACAATGCAATCGATGCTAACTAACACAATGCAATCGATGCTAACTAACACAATGCAATCGATACTAACTAACACAATGCAATCGATACTAACTAACACAATGCAATCCATCGATTGCATTGTGTTTTAAGATAGTTAGTTAGTGCTGAATGCATTGTGTCTTAAGTTAGTGTCAAAAGCATTGTGTTAGTTAGCATCGATTGCATTGTGTTTTAAGATAGTTAGTTAGTTAGTGTTGAATGCATTGTGTCTTAAGTTAGTTAGTGTCAAAAGCATTGTGTTAGTTAGCATCGATTGCATTGTGTTTTAAGATAGTTAGTTAGTGTTGAATGCATTGTGTCTTAAGTTAGTTAGTGTCAAAAGCATTGTGTGTTACTTATGATTGTATGGTATTTGAGTATGGAAATACATTATGCTAATATAATAATAAGTTGTCAAACAATAATTTCTAAGCATAATGAAGTGGTTTATGTATGGGGGGGGGGGGACATAACTACATGAAGACAATATTATGTTCCCTCCAAAATAAACCATTCATTATGCTTAGAAACCATTGTTTGCTAATTTCTGATGGCTTTATGGTGCCTTGTGGTAAAGGAAAGGAATTGGAATATTAAAACAAGAATTGTGAAATGAAGTTAGTGGTTTAAACTGGAACCAATATTATTTATTAAAATGTATTTAATAGAACTCTAAAATATATTCTGTTGTTAACACTGTTAATATTAGACACACTGATGTAAATGATATTCAACTATTAAAAATGTTGTGTGTTTTTGTAGGGTCGTATAAAGTTATCTAACTATGGACTGTATTATATGACAGAAAATGGCACATGTGTTCCTTTTCCTATTGGGTAAGTAAATTTTCATTTAATAAAAGTTTCCAGTATAATTATTTTTGCAATTGGTAGTTTTCTTTTCTTTAATTTTTTTATGCAATATAATAAAATAATTAACTGTTCTTATGTTGTGATGGCAAACAAATAGGATGTTTATCATTTTTAATTTGTTGATTAATTAGTTATGTCATTAAGCAGAAGTGTTTTCAGTGAACATCAAACATTCTTAACATCTATGATTGAATTACTAAAGATGAAAACTTTCAAATAAATGGAAGAACTGAATTTTATGGTAAAAAAAAAGCAGCTGTAGTATAGATAACAAAAAAATTACGTATGTTGCAGTTAAATGAAGATGTTATTAATGATTGAGAAGACAAAGAAGTATTAAAAGTCATGCATCTTTAAGGAAAACTAAGTTTGGCTAGATTAAACTCAACAATATGAACATGTTTTCACTGTGTACTATAGTATGTATGGCAGAGTGGGTGTCTTGGATCCTTGCTAGAAGATTTTAATACCAAAATATACAGATATTCATTTCAATTATATATGGAGAATGTAGACATAGACAGATATGAATATGTTAGCAGTGAACCAACAAATATACATTTTAAGTATGTAGACACAGACGGAGGAAAAATGGATGATTTCTGTTAGTGGTTGTATAAAACTGTTGATACAAGTTGTTTGTATTAATATTAATATTATTGTTCTTCATGCTAGTACTCTATTATAAATACTTATTTAATGCCTTTCTCAGTACACCCAAGTACATTGCTCCTGAAGTTTTAGCTGGTGATGTTCCTACTATTGACAAACATTTCATGCCAACCACTCACGTGCCATCTGGGTTCAAGTCAGACATATGGTCATTTGGAATTATACTACTAGAGCTGACCATAGTAAGTAAATGTATTTATATACATAGTTGGACAAGATTATTGGAGCGTAATGCATAGTGATTTATAAGTTACTAAAAACACAAATCCTAATTTATTTTGATATTTATAGACAGTCGTGAATATAATTGTAAATACATGAAAGAGAAGATTCAAAACAAATTTATTTGTGAAGTTGGTTTACCTTTCTCATCAGGTTACAGAGGTATGATCACTTAAAATCTAGACTTATTTTGGTATTAGTCCATCATTAACTCTTTCTGTCTCCATATGTAATGTTTATGACAAGAGCAGATGATATCATTAAGTTTTTAAAATTACATCTGGCCTCTTATGTCACATAACTACAAGGGATAAAATAGCATATAAGATACCTAAAATGCTAACCCTAACTTCAATTTATGCTCCATGGTTGTAATTTGTATATGGTGAGTATAAATATGTAAACTTCCCACTTACCTAGATAAAAGTTGTTGATATACAAAATAAATCTGAAAATCTGTGGTTTATACATGTTTGTTGCATATATATATATATAGCTCACATAGTTTGAAAACAATTAATTTTTGGTCAGTGGTGTCAAAAACTGTAAAATTCAACTCACTGCATTTTGTGTTTTACAATGTACAAGCTTCTAAAGTTAAAATCATCAACATATTGTTTGAAAATTAGGATTATTTTCTTCTTCACAATATATTTACTGTAGAGCTACCTTTGTTCCTTACATGGCTCTCAATTTTCTAAACATTATTTTGTTGGAAGCTTTTCTTGATCACATACATTCAAATAATCTACTGTTGTATTTGATTTCCCTTCCTGTTTGTTTATTTTGTTGAAGTAATTACTTTGGTAGTTCCTGTTTGTTTATTTTGTTGAAGTAATTACTTTGGTAGTTCCTGTTTGTTTATTTTGTTGAAGTAATTACTTTGGTAGTTCCTGTTTGTTTATTTTGTTGAAGTAATTACTTTGGTAGTTCCTGTTTACTTTACAAAAACCCATTTGTAACTTGAAACTCTAAAGTCTTATGATGGACTTTGCCTCTGCAGGTTAAAGATTAGTAGGGAGGGGGGTTGGAGCAGTTTTATGGTATTAACTAGATGTACTAAAACAGATAATTATATTAATATACTAATTATACTAATATTAGCTTTTACAGTGTATATAATACATTTTCTTTCAACAAAGTGAGCTAGCACATATCAGTAGGCCTGTGTTATATTCTATAACTTTGTACTGTTTGATTTTACTACTCTGTCCAGTTTGCATGTGGTGTTTCTTACACAGTTGAGGACAGAACTAGAGCTTGGAAATGGTATGGTTTCCAGTGAATTTTTGAAAGCATCTGTTATTGTCATGTTAGAATGCAAACAGCAGGAAGAAGAATTGACTGTCATTAACAGTAAAAATGCGTGTTTATGAAGACAAATATCTAGTGCTCATTATACATTTACTACACATAGATACTTTCAATACATTTATTATTAAAACACTGTTAAAGCTAGCAGAATACTCAACAAATTTATAATCAAAACACTGATGAAGCTAGCAGAAAAGGATTTTTGCAAAATATTTTGATAATTTAATTATGTAGTATTAACTAATTGAACATATAAATAACATAGTATTGTGAGATGAGCTGAATTCAGGAGTTATCCTGCAGTATTTAAAACATTTGAATCAAATTATTTTCTACATGCAGTTAGATTTTAAATGGCACTTAATGTTAATGAATTTATATCAGTCAGTAGTCTAGTGTTCTTCTCTCTTTTATTTCAATTGTTTAAAATTTCTTGTTGATTAGGGAGAGATGCTGTGGCCAAACTTCACTCTGGAGGAAACATTTCAGACTCTTCTTTTGGCTGTACAAGGTAATTTTCAGAAGTTTTCAATATATGTTGAAACTATGTCTTTTCCCTTAAGTTTTATTTTATTGAAGTTTCTACCACTTTAGCCGTAGAACTTCAAATCAGAGTTTGAGGTAGAAGTCCAAAAACATAGCATGAGCTAAACCACCTATATTTTTGTAATATTAAAAATTTGACATAAATTTATTTGGATTACTACTATGTGCTAAATATAAACAATGGTTATAGCATGCCTGATATATGTATTGTTATCTTCTTTGGTTTACACATAGGTGTATCCAGGAAGAAAAGTCCAGATTTAGGAATCAAGTTAAGATCCATAATTATGTACACTAGGTGCAGAACATTCATTGACTGGAAATACTGAAACTTACTCAAATTACATAAGTTTTATATTTCACAAGCCTTTGTGCAGGTGTCCCTTCCATTAGAAAAGCTGTTACACTGTCATTCATAAGGAAGGTATGCAGGTGTCCCTTCCATTAGAAGCTGTACACTGTCATTCATAAGGAAGGTGTGCAGGTGTCCCTTCCATTAGAAAGCTGTTACACTGTCATTCATAAGGAAGGTGTGCAGGTGTCCCTTCCATTAGAAACGCTGTTACACTGTCATTCATAAGGAAGGTTGCAGGTGTCCCTTCCTTTATGAAGATTGGTACACTGTCATTCATAAGGAAGGTATACAGGTGTCCCTTCCTTTATGAAGGTTGGTACACTGTCATTGTAAGGGTGGTATGCAGGTGTCCCTTATTTTATAAAGGTTGGTACACTTTCATTCCTAAGGAAGGTTTACAGGTGTCCCTTACTTTATGAAGGTTGGTACACTGTCATTCCTAAGGAAGGTGTGCAGGTGTCCCTTACTTTATAAAGGTTGGTACACTGTCATTCCTAAGGAAGGTTTACAGGTGTCCTTCCTCTATGAATGTTGGTACACTGTCATTCCTAAGGAAGGTGTGCAGGTGTCCCTTCCTTTATGAAGGTTGGTACACTTCATTCCTAAGGAAGGTTACAGGTGTCCCTTCCTTTATGAAGGTTGGTACACTATCATTCCTTAGGAAGGTATACAGGTGTCCCTTCCTTTATGAAGGTTGGTACACTGTCATTCCTAAGGAAGGTGTGCAGGTGTCCCTTACTTTATGAAGGTTGGTACACTGTCATTCGTAAGGAAGGTGTGCAGGTGTCCCTTCCATTAAAAAAGCTGAAACACTGTTATTTTTGTCACTATTAAGAACTTCCGATCAAGAATAACCTAACTATAGATAGGAAAATTGAAGTATCTACAATATATAGAATTAATCTCAGATAGTAATACAAACTATAAACATTATCATAGTAGAATTATTCACAAGCTGAAAACTATAGTAATTGAAGTGCATTCAATCATCAGTTGGACTATTAACACGTTTAAACTTGGTATGATTAAACTATCAAAATAGCACACAGATGTTAATATTATATGCATAACGGGTTCTGTGCCAGTGTTATTGGCTTTGAACATGTCACCTTACTGTGGTGTTGTAAATCTCTTACAAATAATATTTATTTAATGTATAGAGAATATTCAGTCAATAGTAGTTTTCCACCTCAAGGAAGTTTATGTGAGACACAAGAGTCAAGATTCACATAGAAAAGAAACGTTTGTTAATAATTCATGAGTCAAATAGTTCATAGTCGCATCTTCCTTCATGCAGTTTATACTTTAAGTTTAGCCTACACTTAATATAGTTATTATACTTTCAACTTTTAGATTAGTAGAAAAATTATTGCATAAAGAATTGAATCTTTTTATTTTTATTTTCAGCTAAGTTGGAAGACGTATTAACTAATTAGTTGTTAACAACAACTGTACTGTGATTTCTGATATAATCATGACTGAGCATTGTACACTTTACTAAGTTTGGTTCCACCAGATGATACTTGTGTGAGGTAATACACAATGCATCTATTGAGCCTTCTGCAAAGGACCAATTATAGTTGTCAACCCCTCAAGATGGATTCTTGTATCTGGTGAGGGAACCTCCCAGGGAAAGTTCTGTATCTTCAGTTTACCTCCTCTGGGATCTGAACATCCACTCGTATGTTTGCCATGTGTGGCATCTCGGGAAGCAGAGGGGAGGATCCTGGTGGTTGAGGGGTGTCATTGATGGGTCAGTTTACATCGGTGGCACTTTAACACATCACTTTGGTCTTGAATTCCTGTAGATGGGTGGTCTTGGGGTGGCTCTCCCATGGTCAGTTGGCTGGTCCTGTTTGGCTAGGGTCAACAAAGAACTAGTGTTAGATGCTCTCAACGGTGTTGTGGACATTGTGTTTGATAGTGGTGTTTGAGTATAGTGCCCACTAAACCTGGGCATCTGTACAGTGCTCTACTTTAACATTGTGGTGCATCCCCTTGTAGGACTCTATGGTGGGTGGGGTCAGTGGGCACTGAAGTTACCTCTATTTTGTATGGATCCTGCACCCAGAGACCCAAAAAAACAATAAAACTCATTGATAGGAAAGCGACTACATTTGGAAGACTCTGAACAGTAGACTACCCAAATCTGCACTTGTACATCATTTTCATCCTGCATTCTTTATCTGACAAACCTTTAGGGCACATGTCTCCCTTTTTTTATTAAGAAGGGATTAGAGGGGGCTTGCTGGCTCTCTGAAGTCAGTTAAGAAGCTACATTCTGGGGACATCTTGGTGAAAACATCTACACCAAAACACAGCAAACTCCTCCTGAAATCAAAGACCATTGGGGATATACCTATTGAGGTTACTCCCCGTGCTACTTTGAATTCCTCAGGAGGAGTTAACATTGAGAGGGATTTAAGAACCATCCCCGAATTATCAGAATTGTAAGGCCTTATAAATTGTTCTATGAGAACATTAAGGTCTGATTGATCATAAGTCTCTCCTAGAGATAGGTAAAGAGAACAAACAGTGATGGTACAACCTATGGAGATACAGACAGCAACAGCCTTCAGGGACATATCAAGTGGCACAAGTAAGGTGGGTATATGCTTGTCAACCAGCAGCACCACATCTCAATGAACTCGACCATCACACAACCTATCTTTCCTATACGAGGAAAAGTGCCGTAAGGTGACGTTATCAGCAGGCCAAAGGAATGTTTCTTGCAAGGAGAGAGACACAGGATGATAGGAATCAATCAAGGACTTAATATCATCCAAATTAGGATGAAAACCTTGAAAGTTCCATGGTATCAAAGTGGCCATTTTTCTTTAGGTGAAGGAGAACTGGGTGGAGAACCCATGTGTTTGTGACCACAATGTTTTTCTTTAGTAGAAAGAGGTCTGTCGACCTTTATTGAACCTACCTTATGTCGACTGGGCTGATCTCTGTTAGAGGATGGTGATTCCAGAGAGTGAGGGCAAATAATGAATCTGCATCTCGGGGCTGAAGGAGATGGACCCAAGCAGTCACTAGATGCAATGGTGGGGACAGAGACGTAGATTTGTCAACTCCTGTAACCATGGAGGGCAAAAAGACTCTTCATATGGTATGAGAAAGACTTGGATGGAGGCACTGAAAGATCTGTCTGCACTCCCACTGTAGCAGTGGAATGGATGTAGTATGTAAATGTTGTGCCTCTTTCTCCTCCACCCACTTAGGGTAAGATCAAAAGTAAGAGGGGTGGGAACCACCACAATTGACACAGTGAGGGTTCAGTTGAAACTCGTAGGCATCAGGGTCTTTGCCACCACAACGAGCACATGTCAAAGAACCACAACAAGATGCCTTAGAATGTCCGAACAACTGACACTGGAAACCCCTGAGAGGGTTATGAAGCCATTTCCCTTTTTCATCTTGGGAGACTTTAATGGACACAATCCCCTTAGGGGTGGTGCTGATATTGATGGGAGGAGTCATTTTGTGGAGCATATGCTCTCAGATCACAACCTTTCTCTCTTCAATACTGGCTCATTTACCTATTTTTCATGCACCTAGTCAGTATTTTACTGCTATTAATCTGTCTTTTTCCTTTGCTTTTTTCTAATTTTTAATGGTAGGGTGACAGTGACCCATGGGGCAGTGATAATTTTCCCATCATTTTGAGGTAGATTGGCAATGGTTGATGCCACCTGACCAGAGTGCCAAAGTGGAAGTTGAACTAGGCTGACCGGCTGTCTTTCACCACTCTCTCAGAACTACATCCTGCTGTCATTAGTCTTCTATGTATCAATGACTGCATGGAGGCAGTAACTGATTGTATAATTCAAGCAGCTTTTTGTTTTATTCCCAAAAACTTGACATGTTTCCCATGTTATCCTCGTCCATGGTGGTCTCCAGCATGCATGTAAGGCTCAGAAATGTGCCTGGGATACCTTTCACAGTTTTCCCACTCTTTCCAACCACATTGCTTTCCAAACAGTCCCATGCCCATGATTGACAGGTAAGACATCAAAGCCAGAAGGAATCTTGGATTAAGTTCACAACCAATATCTCTTCTACCACCAGTTACAAAGTCCTTTGGGACAAAAATCGGAAGGTCAATGGGAAGTATGCTTTCCATCCCCTTTCCATCATGCTCTCCATTGTCCAGGAAGTTGCTGATGTATAGAGCATCACTGATACTCTCAGGGAGTGCTTTCTTATATTTCCAGCACTTCTGTTTCTTCCCCTGCCTTTTTGGCCATCAAGTCTCAGGCAGAGCATTTGTCTCTTTCTTTTTGGGCAGATCGTCCCTATGATTATAATCACCCATTTACACTGGTGGAATTTAAGCTTACTCTTCAGCGTTCTGGCAGTACATCAGTCGGACCTGATAATGTTCTCTATGAGATGCTGCTCCATCTCTCTTGCACTTCTTTGATTGTTTTTAACCGGATCTGGCAGGAAAATGTTTTTCCAGATGCTTGGCACAAGGATATTGTTCTTTCTTTCTCAAAGTCTATGAAGAATCCCAAGATTCTTTCTAATTATCAACCAACTGCTTTGACTAGCTGTCTCTGTAAAGTTTTTAGAGAATGGTTAATGCATGAAAGTAAAATGACGACAATCGTGACCTCAGTGTCACAATAACCACACATTGGTGTATCAGTCCCACATAAAAGAAAATGATGAGTTATAAAACTGTGACCAATGCGTAGCCTAGTCAAGACAACTTTCTCCTGTCGATTCTTATGGAAGCTAGATGGCCAAACAACAACAGTAGGTTTGATCTGGAAAAAGCTGGTTATGAAGTTGCTCACCTCAAATCGACTTCCACCTGTGTGAAGGACTGGGAAATGGTCAAACCCACACAGACTTGGAATTGCCTTTCATGTAAAAAGTTACAAATAAAAATGGGTAAATGGCCACACAACCCATATGAATGGAGGTCCCACAAAATGCCAAACCTCCATGTTATAAGCCTTCTCAAGATCAAAGAAGACAGAAACAAGATGCTCTCTCTTGAGTAAGACTTCCCTGATCAAGGTTTCAAGATGTATCAGGTGGTCCATGGTGTACTTCAGTCAATGAAAACCACGTTGGGTGGGTGAGAGGAGGTTGTTTGATTCAAGGAACCCAACAAGACAAACCGTCATTACAATTGTGAGCAGCAGCACCATTAGACATGTATTTTCAAGAGTTTACCCTTGACATTTTATGGTGTCATTGGTGATAGTGACACTGTCCAACTTGATTATGTTTTCAGCTTTGACCTTTTTATTTCTGTTTAGATTTTTGGGCTTTGTTTCATTTTTTTTTCTTTTTACTTTTTATAGAGTTTTACTTTTACATCAGTTGTTTGGTGCAGGTAGCCCCAAAAAACAGTCAACCAATAATTATCATAGAGCACTTCTCACAGGTGGATAACACTGCAATTTTTTGAATATTTTAGTTTGAGTAAACCCTCCTTCGAAGGTTGATATTGAATTTATTCGTTCCTTGCAGAGGTCAGTTGAGACGTTGTTAGTCTACTCAACATAAGTGGAAGTTGGTCATCACATACAAAATTATTCATCTACCTAATGTAGGTGGAAGTTGATCATAACTAAATCATTCTTCTACCCAATGTAGATGGAACGTGTTTGTCATGTATTAATTAACTGTGTTTTAATCAGCCCTAAACAACAGAATTAAAGAATATTTCTTCACTCATGTCCAACAGAAATGTCTCTTCACAGCAATTTGAACAGTAACCAGGAGTGTCTTCCCACTTGTATCTGAGCAAGATATTTGTAACCATGTCATTCTGGTTAATGTATAGTTATATCTAGAAGTAGCTTCTTGTTTGTTACAAAACTGTCTACAACAAAGTTTTTTAAGTACTAGTTAGAGTATTATTTATATTTTCCTAAACTTCTAAACACTCTTCACATTACATCATACTGTTAAATACTAGTCAGTGTGCTACTTATGCTAATAAACAGTAAGCACTTGCCAATAGTGCCTTTCAAAACACTTAAGTGTTGATAAAAATGCTATGTTTTGTATTATTCATTTTAATAGTTTTAAAACAAAAACTAATGAAACTATCAAAAAAATCATCTGAATCTGAGTTTACTGGGTCATTCGAATACTGAAAAGCAGATGTATTGGTAAACCAACTGTAATGTTGAGCCCAGGAGTCTTCTCTGCTCTACTGAAGTATCTCATGTTGAAGAAAATCTGTTACTTTACTTTTTTAAACCCAAATTTAATGTAGTCACTCAATTGTTCCATTTCTTATAGCAAATAGAATGTTTATACACACACACACACACATATATTGTGCATTGGCAAAGTGAGGGTTATTTACAGCGTGAAAAATGTGTTACTATAGTAGTGTAAAGCTGGATGTGCAGCAGTGTAGAATATATCAACCATGTTTTGTAGATAATTGATGATTTACAATAGTTAAGATATTTTAGTATAGTAGTAATGAGTTGATTGCTTAAAATAATATAAAATCCATTGTTGCATTAGTAAAGAATAGGTCATTTACAATATTGTAAAATATGTTAATTTGCTTGTAGAGATTTGATGATACACAAATCTGTACAGTATCAAATCCATACAATAAATAGGTGAATGGTCGTCTTTTGGAACAATATTTTTTTATGTTTTAGGAACAAACAAAAGCTTCTTAACAACGCTCACAACAAATGATACAGTTCACAGGAAACTTGAGGTAACATTTGTTGTTAAAATATGGCTTATGTGCACTTAAAATGTTATGTTACTTGTAAAATTGTTAAAACTGTGTATATGAAGAAGGCACGCCATGTGTGTGTTTTTACCTTAGAAATGTGAACTGAATATTGTCATCTGTGAGCTAAAGATTGCTTTGTATGACCTGTTTTTGTGTAAAGTGAATACTTCTACATTGGGACTGAAGTTTGGAATGAATATTTCTATATTTGGATTGAAAACTGCAGTATGTGAACTGTTATAGTTAACCACTGTAAAACAGTAGTGAAAATATCATAGTTAACTATAGTGTAATTTCTATTGTTAAATTTTAGATTTTTAAATTTACTTTATATACACATAAGATGAGGAAATGACACTTACACATTGCTCTAAGCAAATTTTATCACTTCTATTTTGTTTAAATATATATTTTTCTAATTATTTTATCGAAAATGAAGTATCAAAGTATCAAGCTGTAACGTTTAAAATGCACATTCACTTTGAAATGCTATATATAACTTTCAGGTTTTGCTGTTAAAATATTAGCTGAACTTTCAGGCTTTGCTGTTAAAATATTAGCTGAACTTTCATGCTTTGCTGTTAAAATCTAGCTGAATGTTCAGGCTTTGCTCTTAAAATCTAGCTGAATGTTCAGGCTTTGCTCTTAAAATCTAGCTGAATGTTCAAGCTTTGCAGTTAAAATCTAGCTGAATGTTCAAGCTTTGCAGTTAAAATCTAGCTGAATGTTCAGGCTTTGCAGTTAAAATCTAGCTGAACTTTTAGGCTTTGCTGTTAAAATCTAGCTGAACTTTCAGGCTTTGCTGTTAAAATCTAGCTGAACTTTAGGCTTTGCTCTTAAAATCTAGCTGAACGTTCAGGCTTTGCTCTTAAAATCTAGCTGAACTTTCAGGCTTTGCTGTTAAAATACTAGCTGATCTTTCAGGCTTCGCTGTTAAAATATTACCTGAACTTTCTTACTTTGCTGTTAAAATACTAGCTGAACTTTCAGGCTTTGCTGTTAAAATACTAGCTGAACTTTCAGGCTTTGCTGTTAAAATACTAGCTGAACGTTTAGGCTTTGCTGTTAAAATACTAGCTGAAATCTCAGGCTTTGCTGTTAAAATACTAGCTGACCATGTATTAATGAATTGTTCCATGTTAAATTTTTATAAATTATAAATATTGAATATTTTTTTTTCACTTTGATCTTTTCAGTTACTTCCAAAGTCTTTGAAGTATCTAATTGAAGATTGTCTCATTGTTTCCCCTTGTAAGAGGTAAATTAAGTTCTTTAAGATTGTCTCATTGTTTCCCCTTGTAAGAGGTAAATTAAGTTCTTTAAGATTGTCTCATTGTTTCCCCTTGTAAGAGGTAAATTAAGTTCTTTAAGATTGTCTCATTGTTTCCCCTTGTAAGAGGTAAATTAAGATCTTTACTTTCATTCAAATCATGCAGGTTTTATTTAATTACTATACTGTTTTCTGTATCTAAAAAATAGGACAACACTACAAACTTTGGTATAGACATATGTCTGGTTGTGTGACCTATGGATATTCAAGATTTATATTTAATACACTATATTACTATCATCTTAAACTTGTAACCATTTTCAAGATTGCATACCTCTTAAAGAATTGATTTCAACACAAAGAGAGTAGACCTACACCATTGTGTAACATACAGGTACAGATTCAGTGAACTTGTATTGGAAAGAAGTGTGCCTTATTTCAACACAAAGAGAGTAGACCTACACCATTAAGTTCACTGAATCTGTACCTGTATGTTACACGTATTGGAAAGAAGTGCATCTTGACATGAAAACCAGGGATCTGTCAAAACTTTCAAACCCTTGCAAATCAAAAGACCACACTAACCACTAAATTTCTCTGAATAATTCCAAAATTTGACAGAGATCACACTAACCACCACACTTCCCTGGATAATTCCACAGTTCAACAGAGATCACACTAACCACCACACTTTCTTTGATAATTCCAAAATTCGACAAAGCCCACACTAAGTATAATTTTTTAATAATTCCAAAATTTGACAAAGATAACACTAACCACCACATTGTTCGTTCATGAAGCTTTTAATCAAAGAAGCCATGCTAATCACTTAGCTGGCCCACTTTCACCCCACCCCCCCCAGTTCTTCTCAAAACTTTGTTTCACACTTTTTTTACTTCAGATTTTTTTTGTGTTTTACTTATTTGTTATTCTGTAATAATTTGTGTTCATCCGACAAATCAACTGACCATATTTTCCTAATTATCAAAAGTGTAATGTTCTCATTATCTATAAAAAAAAAAATCAATGCAATGTTGTTTATCTTTGTTCTTAAAGAAGTTTAATTTGGAAAATATTTACATAAAAAGTGAATGGCTGGCAACTGATTTAATAAAAATTGTTCATTAAAAGTATACTTTTAGCAGTCTCTACTTGGTATAGGAGCAAAAATGTGGCTTGAAGTATTCAGTTGTAAGAAAACAAGGTGATGTATAATCAGCTTTCATATTTATACAACAGAAAGTGTATTCAGTTGTAAGAAAACAAGGTGATGTATAATCAGCTTTCATATATATACAACAGAAAGTGTTTTCAGTTGTAAGAAAACAAGGTGGTGTATAATTAGCTTTCATATTTATACAACAAAAAGTGTATTCAGTTGTAAGAAAACAAGGTGATGTGTAATCAGCTTTCATATTTATACAACAGAAAGTGTTTTCAGTTGTAAGAAAACAAGGTGATGTATAATTAGCTTTCATATTTATACAACAAAAAGTGTTTTCAGTTGTAAGAAAACAAGGTGATGTATAATCAGCTTTCATATTTATACAACAGAAAATGTTTGCTTCCAAAGAATCTTACTATGTTATTGTCAAGCTAAGTCATAAATCAAATAACATTACAACAAACAAAGATTGTTGAATGAAATAACATATATACTTTTAATAAAAACAACTTGATGTGTGGATGAAATGTTATTTCAATAAGAAGAGAGAGATGAAACAGTAGACATGTAATTTGGAAGAAAATTTACTAAATAGTTATGAATGTAATATATTTCTTACAGGCCAACAGCAGCAGAACTTTTAGAACACCATCTCTTTAAAGAAAACAATCTTGGAAGGGAGCTGAGAGCTAGTTTTGTAGAAGAACTATTCCCATTTGTTAGTCTGAGGTGCGAAAAACTGGAAATACCAACAAAAGCAACTCGCACAAGTGAGTAGGTTAAAGCAAGCCAGACTATACTAAGGAGAAGTTGTTACTGTAGTTTGATTGTAGTTTTATGTAGTTACAGTCCTTTGTTTGGGAGTTAGTTTTTTATCTAGTTATAATCCCTTGTTAATGAGTTTGTTTGTTTACATTTAAAGTAGCTGAGGATTCTTGTTAAGGAAGTATACATTGTCTAAAGTACAATGTTAGATAATGTTCCTCTAACTGTCTAAAGTACAATGTTAGATAATGTTCCTCTAACAGTCTAAAGTACAATGTTAGATAATGTTCCTCTAACTGTGTAAAGTACAGTATTAGATAATGTTCCTCTGATTGTCTGAAGTACAGTATTAGATAATGTTCCTCTAACTGTCTAAAGTACAATGTTAGATAATGTTCCTCTCACTGTCTAAAGTACAATGTTAGATAATGTTCCTCTAACTGTCTAAAGTACAATGTTAGATAATGTTCCTCTAACTGTCTAAAGTACAATGTTAGATAATGTTCCTCTAACTGTCTAAAGTACAATGTTAGATAATGTTCCTCTAACTGTCTAAAGTACAAT